CAGCCTGCAATGGCAACAGGCTGAGAAGAAAATCAGAAGTGTCTAATATCTCACAGCAGTAACTAAGACTTCAGACAGCCCCTCGAGCAAACCTTATGCTAAAAATGAGTAAAAAGCATACGCACGTGCTGGTGAGCCAGAGTATACTTTGCCTAGTAGCAGCTGAGTGCACTTTGAGGCTAGTGAGAGGTGCTGAACAGGTAGCTTCAACACCTTTTCCTTGCAGGGACAGTAACAAGTCACATTCAGCATTTTCCACAGGGAACTGTTGTCTCTTCCAAGCAGGCTGGTGCCTCGGTGGCAGAGGTGGCTGTCCCCAGGCCGCTCGCTCCCTGTCTGTGCAGCCAAGAGCTGGCCGGCGGGAGCGGTCAGCTGGGTAATGCGACCTATTTAGGCACTGGAGTAAGACCAATACCACATTTCACACAGACATCTTTATTTTCACATTTCTGCATGTATGCAAGAGAATGTTCTTTTTCCTGGGATGTGCTGGTAGACATATTCCACCCTACAGAATGGAGTTTAGCAATTTTTTTTAATAAATATATATGTACACACATATATATAATCTTGCAAAATTTCTTCTGCATTTCCCCGTATGTCAGAACGGATGTTTACAACAAACCAGAGCTAAAGGGACACTGTGAGGTTTTATTTTTCTTACCTCTAAAATAAAATAGTGTTTGCATTTTTCTTCAACTTGATTGCCTGTTCTCCTGGTTATACTTCAGAAAAGATGCTGAAAAGACATGCCTATAAGCTTTCAATTTTTACTACTCCAAGACACGATCAGTGATGCAGGTAGAACGTTTTTAAACTCTTATTTACACACAGGCCAGAGTATCAATTAGGTGTATGTCACTGCACCAAATATAAGAGCACCCCTGAATCAGTGATGCAAATAAATCATTAGCATGTAAATGTTACGCTTACAGCACAGTTCAGCAGTTTAACAGCCTCTATGCAGATAGATACATAGATAAGAGTCCTGCTTTTAAAAGTTTCACTGTAAATTTTTAACCTGACAGTGTCCCTTACGAAAAAAGTACATATTGGGCTTAAGGAAGGACACCCTCCTATGGATATTTTCTTTTTATTATTAAAACCAACATTTTTAAAACCATTCAACAAAATTTAATACGAACTGCCATTGGAGAATAGCATTTGTAAGAGTGAAGCTATGCATTGCTGCTCCATTAACATGGCTTTAGTTATCACAATTTATATTATTTGCACATTTCCTTAGGTCTCTCATGGCACTTCCATGAAGAAGAAAAAAATGTTGTTACACTGCTCCTGCCATCTTATCAGAGGTCACACATGGACACAAAGATGGTGGTTCTCAACATGTGTCGCAGTCAGGCAATGCCAAAGTTCTGCCCGCAATGCATGAACCGTAGGATATCTATATTTCAGGTTTATAGCTCGACTCATGATTACTCACAATACTGCAATGCATTCAAAGTAACAGGAAAACAAACATCGACAGTAACAGGCACATTACATTTTTTTTTTGCATTATCATTAATCACATTCCTATTTTTCAACAGATTGTTGCCTAAAACGCATGTTAGAAAGGCTCTCTTTAGAAAATGCTGGCATGAAGACGCAGGCTAATGTTTATAACTAATGAAACAGTCAGACTAATGATTCAGACATTATTTAAACATTCACAACTTTGAGAAAATTTGCACAGCTGATAGCACTGACAGACAGTCTAACTGTAACTTAGAAGCCAGCACAGTAACTACCTTCAGCATACTGGCAGTAGGGTTTATGATGGTATGAGATTAGAATAGCACGCTATGTTTTATTTAAAAAGCTGTAGTAGTTAAGTATTTGCCATAAATATTGCAAGCCCCATTTATGAGCAATGGGAGGCTTTGCAAGTTTACAAAGTAACACTCACGGAAAATATAAAAAACAAACCCAAAGACATTTCCATGCAGAGTACAATTCTCTCACAGTCACTGGATCTCTGTCATCTGTTGGCTGGAGCACACATGCCATATGCACATACGCTGCTCATGGAAAACTCAGAGGCCTTCTATACACCGATGCATACCAGCCTCGAGCCGACATCAGTGGGATCAGAGACAAACACAGGATAATAAACGGTTTTGCAAAGGCAACGACTCTGCCACAGACAGAATTTACAATTAGAGCTACGTGAAAATACAACGGTTGTGTGCCACTTTGCAAATCCTCCTATATCTCAGCTATGATGGACTTCAAGTGGAGCAGAGAGGTAGCAACCCAGGGCTGGACACCAGGTATGCACAGGTGGGGTCTGGACTCCTGCGAGACCAAAATGGAAGCTACTTATGCCTCAAGGGCAGAATCAGGACCAGTGCGGCTTTCAGCACCTCCCTCTCTGCCTAACGCACCCCCATTGTCACTGGGAGCTGAAAACTGACACAGTGGAGCAGAAAAAGAGATGCCAAAAATGGAGGGTCAGTAATGGTAGCTTGATTTCAGCAATGCACTTAAGCACATACTGAGAGTAACTTCCAAACGTTTGAAGTATGTTGCCAAACTGGGGCCATGCTCAACAGAAAGCAGTTACAGCCCCTGTGACAGACATCCCCCCCACCCCAAGCACTTCTGCTAGTGGAGACACAGAAAACAGAGCTGAGGCCAAATTCCTCACATTAACCCCAGAAAATACTTTAGCTTCAGGTACCAGTTTTCTTTTGAAAAGGACACATTCAAAACTTTTCAGGCTGTATGTGCCATCTCATGAGCACATTTGGAGCAACACTGTTAGAGGAGAAAGGCACTGTGCTAGCCTAATACAAATGCTTGTTTTCCACCATCTTGACCACTTTTCCCTCAGCTGAAGTTAACTGCTTAGACTGGTAAGAGACAGATGCTCTTTTGGTGTGGGGAAAAAAAAGCAGGTCATTCATTATATTAAATTCTGTCATTTGCTGAAGTGATTGCAAGAAGAATCAAGAAGGAAGAGGGTAAACATTGTATATTATTTCAGCTACAACTGATGTCTTTATCAAGTGCCTATTAAACAAAAACTAAATAGACAATACCGGACAACTGGAGAAGGCTACTCTCACAGCACTGCATCACTTCTGCAAATCACAGCACATTATTGGAGTTGCTATGCTCTGTATCATTGCTAGGAAGGAATTAAGTAAAGGTATTTGTATGAAAGGCAATAAACAGGATAGATCAGGGTGTCATTCTTGCATACATGTAACTTCACTCGAGTAGCACTACTGATGACAAGTGGGCAACTTAAAGAAATAAAGTTAAGACTACATAGAAGCGTATGGAGGAGCACAGTAAAAGCGGAAAATGTCCCATCTTGGGGAATTAGCATAGCATTACACTAGTACTGATCAAGTCTACTTCTATAATCAAGAATACTTCAATAGATTATTTTTTTATAAAATACAGGGCTACAGAAATGAGGCATTCTATATATTTTGTATTATAAAAAGCTTCCACTTACATAATTTTTAAAATATATCTTCACTGCTAACAGTATATTTGTAATATAGTATCCGATATAATAAAAAAATATGCTTACTGGATGGGAGTGATGTAGCACTACAGCAGGGACCCTCCTTTCTGTGGGGTCTGAGCAGCTGGAAAAGTTGGCTGTTCCCTCCGCATTCTATATATTTTGTATTATAAAAAGCTTCCACTTACATAATTTTTAAAATATATCTTCACTGCTAACAGTATATTTGTAATATAGTATCCGATATAATAAAAAAATATGCTTACTGGATGGGAGTGATGTAGCACTACAGCAGGGACCCTCCTTTCTGTGGGGTCTGAGCAGCTGGAAAAGTTGGCTGTTCCCTCCTTCCCTTGGTTTCTCAGCCGACGGCACTCTGGAGTGTTAACTTTCTTAAGAGTCTCCTGCAAAGCAGGCTCTGACACGTTCCTCAGCTGACAAATAATCTACTGGGCAAAATCCAACCTTGGTGTGAATGCACTACATGGTTCTCTCTGTTTTGCTAATTAAAAAATGCAGACCCCCAAACTAATGCTCTATATGGCATTAATAAGGAAGTGGGACTTGTACAAGTCATGCAACTGCCTTGTAGGAAAAAAGATTTTCCTACAGAAAATGTTAAACTACCCAAAGGGACATAGGGGCCTGGCAGCAGATTGTGAGACTAATAACAACTAAGTAGCTCCCAATTAAATTTAGAGCACTTTGTGGGTGCCAAGGTCTGTATGTGGAAACACAGCTGCATCATCTGGGCCCTTTTCTGCACTAGGTAAAACTGGAAAGCTGAAATACATCCACAAAGTGGGCAGGACTTTACTGTAATGTCCAATGGAAAAATACAAACGTTCAAATGATGAACCCAGGAAGCATGTGCCAAACTACACCAAAAGGACCATAGCACATGACCATGGTACTGCTGAGATGCACAATGGAGAATCAGTTGGTGTCCCACCACGTGCTGGGACTGCAGAAGGTGGCTGGGACCAGAGCAGGTATTCCTCTTCCTGTACCAGCCCTTATAAACCTGCCTGGTCTTGCAAGAACTTACCATCATTGAACAGGATTTGTTCTGTAGTTTGATATTTGTATGTACAACACATGTTTTGCTCCTTTCTGGCTCACCCTGGCATGAAGATCCTCTGCTTAATGAGTTCAGGAAAAACTCCCACCAATCTCAGTGTGGTGGCACCAGTGCATGTGAGAGGAGAAGTGGGATCTCTGCGGAAATGGGGATACTGGCTACACAGGCTGTCTGCTTAATGTCCTAGGTACATTTACTGTTCATTTTTTACAGACTGTCCTGGTAGATTTGACTTTTGTCAAAGCAGATAAACGGCAAGGCATTCATAAAACATTTTGCCGTATGGTAGTATAGACTGAGCTTTTCACTTGCAATAGATGGCTGAGTAAGCTATCAACATGTGCTATCATAGGTAATCAAGCTTGCCAGATTAAAAGCAGGACTTGTGCCTAGCAAATAATGCTGTATATTACTCATTGAACTTCGAGGAGCAGTTCTCTCTCGTCAGGATTTATTAAAATATTCACATGCTTCCAAAAAGAAACAAAGGTCCACTGGCGTCTCTTGGGAAGAAGAGGTGGGATCGGTTGCATTCAGTTGCCATTTGGTTGGAGACGTCATACAAAATCCTCACACACTGAACATGGCTGAACTGTAAAAAGCTTTCACCCAGAAAGATTTGTTACACAGAAAGTCTCTGACTCCTCCAGCGCTCACCAGACACGGTTACATGACGTTCTCAAAGAGCTGTAAGGATCGCATGATATTGTCGTCCTGAAAGCAACAAGAAGATATTTTCATAAAACCAGCACTGACAAGCACGACTCCTAACTTTGCATGGCACAGGAGGGGCTCTGCAGCTGCTACTGCAGGCAACAGCCTTGCTTTCATAATGCTTTTCATCCTCGATGAGCTGGAATTGATTCAGTGATCAGGTCCTGATTCAGCAAAGCAGTCATCTCTTACTTTGGCACCTTAGTTGGTTTGAGGCATGCAAGCACAGGATCTTCTCATAAGCTTGACATTCAGCATGGGCTGTGCTTTATTGAAGAAAACCAGACACCAGCATTGAGCTGGTGACTGTACTGAACCCTCAGACTTCAGTGTCCAACTGCATTTCATTGATCCTGAATATGCAAATATGCACTTCGCTAATACATTTCAAAAGTCCACATGAAACTGCAGGTTGTGAACTGATAAGCAAGCTGCCTTGAAGGATCTCATCACTGCAGAAATACAACCAGTTCAAACCCATAATACATACAAATCTCAGCCTCTCCAAGGTTCCTAGATCCAAATTAGAAAGTTGGAGACACAAGGGAAATCCCAGATTGTTTCTCATGAAGTCTCACAATTGTACCTCAAGGTAATAACTAGAGTAACATTCAAAAACATAATGATGATCTTTTTTCTCCCTCCAGGAATTCAGTTATTCCAGAAGTTAGAATAACTGTTTGCCTATAACATGACAATAATTTTCCACGTCAAGCAACTTAAGATTTATAGCATCTCATTCCTCTATCTTATTTTGAGGCTGCATCCATCTATCACACTTCTAACACAGTTTGGTGGGTACTAGTACAAGCCTTGCACAGGAAACCAACCATCCTCTCCAAAGCAATGCCAAGAGTTCACTGCCCATGAGCCCTATCCTCAGAAGTGGCAGAGGTAAGTACTGCAGTGCACTTTGGTTTGTTTTTCATAAAGAAAGAAACCAAAACATCTTAGTGTTGCAGGGCTTGCTGCTATCTGCCAGGAAACCACACGTGCCAGTGCACCCATCTGCACAGCTCCCAGTGCAAGTGTGTCAACAGGAGGAACCAAACGCAAACTAGGGCAGAGCATTAAACAAACTCTAACAGAAGTAAAACTGCTTCAATACTGAGACCACTAATCATACACATGCATCCAGCCTGAAGGCAAATTATGAATGTGAAGAATACACAACACAAATGATGAAATTAAAGACGAGGCCAAAAATAAGCTAAACAATCAGGAGGGACCAAGAATGAAGTAACTGAAAAAAATTAGTCTTGCATTATGCATTTGCTAACAGTGATTTTGCCACCTGAAGTCCCTAACTGAGAAGTAATCTGGATGTTGCCAGAGCCAGACTTAATATAGAAACCCTGGGAAGCCAGCCGAGCCCTCCACAGTGAACATCTTCCCATTGCTCAGGTACAGAAGAGCTGTCTGGCTGCAGAATAGGAAAGATTTTTCCAGGAGGGCTGGTATGCAATTATTTACACCAATATAAACTTTCTAAAATGCAGAGGCCATTATTGTACTGATTAAACATTAGAGATATCTCTGAGCGAACGTTCACATAGTTAATTACAGTCTAAGACAACAGACACTTGGCCAATTGCATGTTAATGCACAGGCTTGTCTTTGCGCCAGTGCTAAAAATACCAGCAAACACATATTACAGCCAACCTAGTGTATGGAATTTGCAAGAGGGAGCTTATTTCCAAAACAGGGAAAAAAAAAATAAATTAAAAATCATTGCTATGATGACAGCATTTGCTTTTAATGGCCCTCTCATGGTCTCACCTCTGTGCCCAGCAAGATCACAGAGCAGGTCCTCCTGGGAACTATGCTAAGGCATATGGAAAATAAGGAGGTGATTGGTGATAGCCAACACTGAGAGCAAATCATGGCTGACAAAACTGGTGGCCTTCTACAATGGGGTTACAGTGTTGGTGGATAAGGGAAGAGCAACTGACATCTACCTGGACTTGTGCAAAGCACGTGACACTGTCCTGCACGACACCCTTGTCTCCAAGTTAGAGAGACATGGATTTCACGGATGGACCACTCAGTGGATAAGGAATTGGCTGGATGGTCACACTCAAAGAGTTGTGGTCAATGGCTCCATGCCCAAGTGCAGACCGGTGATGAGTGGCGTTTCTCAGGGGTTGGTATTGGGACTGGCGCTGTTTAACATCTTTGTGGGTGACACGGACAGTGGGATTGAGGGCACCCTCAGCAAGTTTGCCAACGACACCAAGTTGTGTGGTGCGGTCGACACGCTGGAGGGAAGAGATGGCATCCAGAGGGACCTGGACAGGCTTGAGAGATGGGTCCGTGTGAACCTGATGAAGTTCAGCAAGGCCAAGTGCAAGGTCCTGCACCTGGGTCAGGGCAATCCCAAGCACAAACACAGCTTGGGCAGATAATGGATCAAGAGCAGCCCTAAGGAGAAGGACTTGGGGGTGCTGGCTGACGAGAAGCTCACCATGACCCAGCCGTGTGCGCTGGCAGCCCAGAGAGCCAAGTGTGCCCTGGGCTGCATCCCAAGCAGGGTGACCAGCAGGTCAAGGGAGGGGATTCTGCCCCTCTGCTCCGCTCTGGTGAGACCCCCCTGCAGTACTGCCTTCA